TAATTTTAGCCTCTCGTTCACTGACTAACTAGAGAACTAATGAGTAGAGGTTCTACCGACTCACTTTTCCCGTATAATAATTATCCACTAGTCTCTTCACCTTGTCAGAATCACAGTATAGTTATTTAAAGAAAAGAATATGTTATACTATAGTCTGTGAGTGTCTCTAAAGTTGGTTGAATCAACCAACTTTAGAGACACTTTAGAGAACTTTCCTAAACAAAAAGTCTGTCAATATCAGGGGGGCGCAAGAAAAACACACTAAAATAAAGATATTAATTGATTTGCAACCTTTCGCTAACTAAATACAATGATGTGTCTTACCTGGATTAAAGAGCATCTCCCGCCCTTCCTCAATTGCGTTGGGAGGTACTCTTCAATCCAGGTAAGACACATCATTGTATTTAGTTAGCGGAAGGTTGCAAATGAATCAATATCTTTATTATAATGGATTTCCGCAAAGTAACGCCTGATCCTATCAAAACACACTACTGTATACTTCCCTACGAATGCAAAATTGAATCGCGTCACTATACACGCACACTACAGCATTTGTGTTTGTGTTCATTGAATTTAGGCATCCCATCAAATTGTACACGTGTTGATACACTGGTGCCGCTGTCTACATGCGTAAGCAAAGTAAAGCGAGGACTATGTCGATATTTTTATCCATAAACAAATCATCATAGTCCGAATAGGTTCAGCGTTGGTAAAAGTGATTTTTAGTATTTTTTTATTCATTACCTACAGCCCTTCACAAGTCCGCTGCTGAACATAGGCCTCCCCCAAGGGGTGCCACAAAGCACGGTTCTGATCCACCTGCATCCATCGACTTCCTGCATGTCTTACCAGGTCGTCACTCCATCCATTGGGGGGTCACCCTGCACTTCACCCACCGGTAGGTATCCAAGATTCATGATTTCTACAAGCTGCAATCCAAGTCTGTCGTTTAAGAGGATCTTTTGGAAATATGTAAAATCAATCCTTGTGCACAGGCCTGAGGATATAGGTATACGGAGAACTCAGATTTATTTAAATATTATTTTAACGATCACAAGCAGAAAGTAAAGATAGGTGAATACTTAAGCGATGAATCTGATATAACATTCGGAGTTCCACAGGGCAGTGTCCTGGGTCCTATTTTGTTTTTAATCTACATAAATAATCTAACCAACATGGACATTAACGAGGACAACATAATTTATCATATATTATATATATATATATGATATGCTGATATATATATATATATATATGTTTTAGAAATTATGTTCGAACTCAGCCTAATATTAATATCCAATCTACAAAAAAAATCTACAAAAACCAAATTTTAACCGTTGTATTGTAGCTAAAAGAAGGAAAAACGTTGTGGCTACAACTGTCGCTGTTTTAGCAAACTGTTTTAGCTAGGAGGCAATATGTAAAACAGTCAGCTACTCTATACAACGCCATTAATAAAAAATGCATCACATTAACTACCGTAATTGCAAATATGTTCTAACGAAATGGCTATTTCATAAAAGCTATGAAGATACTGAGGCTCTTTTAAGCAATATGAAATAATGTAATTTATTTACAACACACACAAACACACGCACGCATGCGCGCGCCTTATATCTTTTGCATGAATATTATTAGTTTTTTTTTTAAATTTTTTAAGTAATTATTACGTAAAGATCATGCAAATAGTAATGTAAGTGCTATGGAAGAGTGGAGTCTCCTAACACAAATTTTTATATTTAAAAGGAGACTTCATCCATCGGTATAATTTATGTATGATCAATTACTGAATAAACTATTTTTATTTTTTATTTATTTTGGGTTATTGATAGAGTAATCACATCTGGTTGGGCTGGATAAATATATAAAAGGAAAAATAAATATACTTAAATATATATTTAATATACTAACATAAATAAATAAATAATACATAAATAAATAAAAGCCCAACCAGATGGAAGCCCTCGGCAGGGGAGACTAAACGGCCGAGGGTTAGGGGGAAAGGGAAAGAAACAGGCGGACGATGCGGGCGGTATCGAGGAGCACCGCCTTCTGCATTTGAGCCCGGAGCGGTCCGTCACTGACTCCCAGTCGCTTCAAATGGCCCGAGAGGCTGGCTGGGATTAACCCGTTTGCAGACACGACTACAGAAATAATTTCGGTCGGCAGACCACCCCACATGTCGGTCACCTCGTGAGCCAGGTCCAGATATTTTTATTGCTTATCTGTTTCGGCTTTCACGAGGTTCTCGTCATACGGATACGGTAATGTCGAGCAAAAATATCCTTGACTGTGCACGATCCATCAGCACAATATCAGGCTTATTCGCAAGAATAGTAGATGAGGAGAAGGCTTCCGGCAAGTACTTGTAATACGGCACTTTCCGATCCACGAGATCGTATTTCAGAGCGAGCTCCTGGTGTAGATTTCTGGGTACTAGGTTGTGCCTGTGCAAGTACTCAGAGTTAGAAAGCGCCGAACAACCGGAGATGACATGCCTAAGTGACTCACCGGGATGGCGACAAGCTCGACAAATGTCGATGGTGCCATCCTTTAGGATGTATTTCCGATAGTTGTTGGTCTTAATAACCTGTAATACAGGACGTATTGCACAGACAAAACCCTCGGTTTCCCCGAAGAGGTCACCGAAACGTAGCCAGTTGAGGGAGGCGACTGTATATACGAAGGGCTCATGTAGAGCCCTGTAGTACCTCCCGTGGAGCTCCTTCTCCTTCCATCTCCTTCCGTCTCCCGGTCGGAAATGCTAAGCACTGCTGGGTCCTGCCATTGCTCGTTGGCTAAGGATAGAGGGGTAAGCCCTTTATCACTAGAAATGACGTCATTATAGTATGGATCATCCGATCTCGCCAGGAAGTAATCACGGAGGCTGCACACTTCGCGATTATGCATGGTGAACGCGCTCAGAAAGCCACGCCCACCATGCTTTCGCGCAAGTATAGCTTCATTACCGACTATCTCGGATAATGCATCCTATGGGACGTCATGGTAGTGCGGACTTTTCTATCCAGGGCGTTAAGTTCAGTCTGAGTCCACCCGAGTATGCCAGAGGCCATGAGGACAGGCATGACCCAACCGTTATATGCGTGTGTCTTATTCACACCGGACAAAAGGCTGTTAAGCACTTTGGTCAAGCGTGAATAAAACACGTCGCAAACTGACTGTTTCTTACCAGCCTCATCGATACCGATATTCTGTGACATACCCAGGTATCGGTATGTTTCAGCCTCGGAAAGGGTCCTTAAGTTGACGGGCATAGATAAGTCTATGCCCTTCGAGTTAGCAACCCTTCCCCTTTCAACATGGAGGACCGCACACTCCCCAGCTCCATTCCAATAGAATTGCTAAATTCACAAGTAATGTTTAGCAACTCCATAATATGGGAGTGACTGGAGGCGAATAACTTGAGGTCATCCCTGTAGAAAAGGTGGGTCACTTTTGTACCTCCTTTCCGAAGCTGAAATCCCCTCCCGAAGCCCTCTAGTAAAGTACTGAGAGGGTTCAGAGAGAGGCAAAACCAGATTGGACTCAGACAATCGCCCTGGAAGATACCCCTTCTTATCCTTATGTGGTTCTCCGCAGCCATCATCCGCTCACCCAGATAGCAAAGGATCGTACTCCCCTGCCCCATACACTGCTCGAGGAAGTCTCCAACTGTACAGTCAATCTTGTACAGCTGGAGGATTCTCTTTAGCCATGTATGGGGCACCGAGTTGAATGTCTTTCTGTAGTCTATCCAGGCGGCGGAGAAGTTCCGACGGTTGCGTTTCACCACTTTGCCAATGACCGCGTCAATGAGGAGTGGTTCCTTGGTTCCACGACCACCGCCCCGACATCCATTTTGAGTGCGTGACATCACCTGATTTAGCTCCAGGTGATGAGTGATTCTCGGTGATGGGGCGGTATTTGCTCGGGTCTGTGGTATCCTGATCTTTAGGAATCAAATGAGTGATCCCAGTAGTGAAGAGGCTCGGGAGCGACTTCTGATCGAGAGCCTCCTGAAACTGTCGTGCGAGCACAACGTGACATACTACGAACCCCTTCAGCCAGTAATGATGCAGCCTGTCGAGCCCCGGACTTTTCCAGTTCGGGGCCCTACGGACCGCCTCAGCCACGTCTTCAGGCATTATGGTGACGGGGTTCATAGGCGTAACACTTGCACTCTGGCTCGGCACAACTGCCATCCAAGGGCCCTCGCTGAGGTTTACGGGCTCTGACCACAGGCCACGTCAAAATGCGACAGTGTCAGCCTGATCTGGTCCTGGGCCCGCTCCACATACCTCTGGTCGCTCCAATGATTTATAGAGCCTCTTCTGATCACTCTGGAAGAGACGATTCTGGTTGAACCGCCTTGACCTCTCGCTAAATCGTCGAATCCGCTTCCCCCAAGCAGCAATTTTTTGCTACAGGTCATCTATGCGCTCCGTTAGTTTCTGCGTGATATGCGGCTGGGACAAACTAATATTTGTCCCAGCAAACGCCATTATAACGGTGCGCACAACTCTCGGTCTATTATTACTATTATTACCCGACCTGAAGCGTGTCAGTCTGCCGATAAGGGCCCTTGCATTTGCGATACGGACTTCCATTCTTTTTCTCCGGGCTGGGATGGGGTTACTTTGTTGAGTAGCACGTCCAGCCATGGGAATTTTGGCGCCAATAATACGGCATACTGCCAGTGCGGCGCCAAAAAGAATTGAGTCCGTCTCGCAAAGGTTCCGGCTGGCTTCCAAATAGGTCACCAGCATTGGGTTAAGAGCCCGCACGACAGCCCGATTTCGCTTGCTAAGTGGTATGCGGGGAAGTCGCGGTCGATTTTCGAGAGGCATGCTGCGCGTTTCCAGTATCGAATATTCCAATATGTTCCACATTTTCTCTAGTTCGTGGGAGACTATTTCATCATCGTCTGAATTAACCACAAATGGAATATTGATGACAGCATCCACATATGCAGTTTGCTGCGTATCTAGTTTGCTGCGTATCTAGTGGCGCCGCATTCCCAGCCGTAGCATTTCCATTCGATGAGGGAACAGCCTCACGTCGTAGTCGTTCAAGTTCGGTATGTTGGAGCGCAGGATGTACCGAACTCGATCTGCCAGGTTTTGCTCAGTGACGGATAGAGATGGCTCCAGCTCTGCAAAAAAGCGATACATCCGAGCCCGATACGCCAAACATCCAGTTTCTTCCACTTTTGCCCTAAAATACGCCCGCAGTGTGTTTGCGTTCATTAATTGTGACCAACGCATGCGACGTGCTCCACCAGCGGCGGGTGCCGCTTGCTGAGTCCGAGAAGACTCAGCCGACACCAAGCCTTCTGGTGTGGATGATAGATGCGGGGGGCTGTTAGGTGGTCTTGCAGCACCCCGCGCTCGGCTGGCGGTCCACATGCTGTCGCGTTCAGAGCCAGCTCCAGACGCGCCCTGACGACCTCCAGGCAGCGGCCCTTTGCTCACTATCTTTTTTCCATCATCCATGATTTGGGCGTCCATTAACAGGAGACGCCCAGGCCCGGCACCGTATAGTTTACGGCCATAAGCACAAACGGGACTTTGCACCCTAAATTCCGCCGAGGCATGGCGCTCACACCTCTCATAAGGCGCTGACTGACTGCGTGGACGTAGCAGTTTTGTCACTAAACTGTTACGTCAGCGGGCGATGGGGTCGTCAATTCCCTACGCCATTTTATTATTGTTCCAGTAATAAGTTTATTATTTATTATTATTATTAAACCAATAATAGAAAAATTTATTACTTTTGTAATATTTTATTATAAAATGTAAACAAAAAATAAAAACTTGTTCGGCAAACAAACCCGAATGGGTTAATTAACTTATCGATAGCTAAAGTTGTGGCATACATCACCACATTGCAGTACTTTCGGTTGCAGTGATACCAGTTAATTTTACAAAAAAATGCATACATTTGCTACGAAGTGGCAAGTTTCAAATTTGACTTATTTAGCCTTTATTTTGATAAAGACTAGTTATCGATTATAATAAATTATAATATATTCAGAGTCGTGTTGGGATTGAGCTGAATATTTAAATCATTGATAAAATCCACTACACATCTTCATGTAATGATTATTATTCATCACAAACTGATTTAGTTGATATGAAATAAATTTTTGTTAATATATTTATGTTGTGTAGTAAAGTGTATTTATTTTAAAATAGCTTATTTTTCACTTCATGAACTATGCTGGCAACACTTGATATTTTATGAAAATATTCAGAAAATACGAGTTTTAACGATAATATTATGAAGTATTCACAGATGAAAAGTCACGTTGTCCTTTTGTAGATTTGACAGTTTTGATTGTTTTTTGTATGAAAGTACATTGCAATTCGAAATATATGTCGGAGCTCAATTGACTGGCACGATCACTTGCGTAATGGCGCACGACGCGGAGCAACTTGTTTTATTAACGGCTATAAGTCAGACTCTCGTACCTTTTACAGAGGGGTATGCCTTGCGGTGGCGTCTCCTTTGGGTTAATACTCAAAGACTATAGTATATTTCTTGATTTCTTCCATGTAGTTAATAGTTATATATAGCTCTGCCGTTATTTGGCATTGGTAACTCTAATAGTCAATTGTTGTGGTGTTGACTTATCACTAATGCTGCTGGCGCCAGTTGTTGCGTGAATTCGGCCGAAAGACCTTATACACGCCAACCTCATCTTCTATACATCGAGTTCTGGTGGTTTCATTGGAAGTCTTGCGACTCGTATTGAGCGGGCATGAAGATCCTTACATGGAGCATTTTGGTTTCTTATTATAAAATATACAATTCTACGGAAAAGAGAATATTTATTTCTTCTATTAAATATCGTATTCATTTATTTACTACGTAAATGAACCAGGTTTTATCGCAAGCCAAAGAGTATATATAATAATCTATTCGTTTTATCCTCAGCTTTGATGTCAACAATTACAGGCAAAAGTAATTCAAATTTAGAAATTTTATGTCAAATGTTAAAATATTGCGTGATTTTTTAAATCATTAGCATATTAAGCATATTTCATACTCTATAATTTGAGAACTAAATCTGAAACACAATTAAGAGTAATAATTGTGCTCTGTAGTCGGTAACAGTATAGTGTAATGGCTAACGAAGCAGAAGAAACGGTGCGTAAGCTCGCAATGCACAAAGGTGTTGCCGGTGTCATAGTCGTTAATGGCGAAGGTATACCTATCAAAACAACTTTGGATAACCATGTGTCGGTGCAGTACGCAGGACTTATGAGTGCATTAGTGGACAAGGCAAAAGCTGTTGTAAGAGATCTTGATCCATCCAACGATTTAACATTCTTACGTATAAGAAGTAAAAAGAGCGAAGTTTTGGTCGCTCCCGACAAAGACTTTATTTTGATAGTCGTTCAAAATCCTACCGAATGACGATTGTGTTCTCTATCTTTACTATTTAGCATACTCTACTTTTATTAAATTACTGGTTGTTCTTTTTTCTATTTGTGGGAGAAAAAAATCTTGTGTGAGCTTAAAATCTTTTATTTATATGAAGTTCGTTTAACGAAATTAATTCACTTAATATCGTTTATAATCCTGAATATTTGCTTCAGAATGATCAAACACGATGATACTCCCTTGTCAACTTGAATCTGATATTGTACATATCCAACTTGAATACAACAGTATAAAGCGAGGTTTAGATTAGCAACAAAACTTGCAGAAGTTGACTTCTGCAAGCTATTCCTACCGTGTAAATAATCACGTCGAGCTCACTTCCGCAGGTTTTGTAACTTGCAGTACTTGCCGCTAGTGTAAACACTATTTTGAAACTTCTGGCAGTAACTTGCAGTTTAATTTGCTTGCAAATAAAAGTTCAAAGTTGCTGAGTAAGATTTCAGTTAAATGTTTGGATGTTACTGTGCGGGTAATAGAGAAATATGAACAACACAGAGAATTATGGGATACGAAATCTTTATGCAGTTTAAAAATTTCATCAGAATGAAATTTTTAAACCGCATAGGTTCTTCCCTTCTGAGTTCTTTTAATAGATGATTGAGGATACTAACAGTATCTCTTCTTAATATCCAATTCTTAACCCACTTTCTATTTTTCCGTTTTTTTATATGATGGGGTGACAAACGAGCACACAGTCCACCTGATAGTAAGTGGTTGCTGTGGCCCATATACATTTATATCTATCTTCTATAAATGCATATGCGTCGTTGCCCGGGAGGACTAAGATGGAATGCCTCGTTTCCATTAAAAAGGGTCTCCGGTTCTCTTCACTCACCATACGAAACACAGCAGCATTAAGCTACTGTTTTACGCTGGTATTCTGTGAGAGCGTGGTCCTTCCCCGGTTGAGCCAACCCATTCGTGCCATAACTACTACTAATATAACTGCAGCATGGCTGTACCACGTATAAACGTTTCTTTTTAATACTACTAAATAAGACTACTATAGCAGCAGCACGTGTTTTTCTACAGCTTGGCATGATGATTGATTTCAACTCTCTGAATTTCTATCCTCTGACTTGCACGCAAAAAATATTGCTTTACTAGTGTAAACTCTTTTCCAAGTACTTCCACAAGTTATTTTGCAGGCCGCTTGCAGAAGCAAATTGCGATAGTAATGTTACGAGCTTGAGGTTCGTGACAATAAAAATTGCCGATTGAATTACCAAAATTTACACTTTTATTACCGAACACCAATTAAAACTTAAAACACTAATAATTAACCACACTGATTCACTTTATTTCGCTCCGAAGCTTCGCTTGTCTCGCCAAATTCAATACTGCCCCGATCGTGGTATGCAGCGGGATTAAATACACTTTTACACCGAAACATCTACAATATTCCCGTAGATACGGTTGCCGACCGACTAGACGCAGAAAGTTCGAGTGTGTGGCTTCTAGAAAGCGTAATTTTTCTGTTCGATACTAGATGGCGCTGTTGGTCGAAAGTCATGATTGACATTTTCTAGGAAGCCCTCCTCGCTCTTTTCCCCGACACTAGTGCCAAGTACTTGACGTCAACTTAGGCGCGCAACAGTAATATTGCTGCTAATGTAAACGGTTCTACAAGTACTTGCGCGATAGCTTGGCATAAGTTCTAGCAAATCTAAACCCCGCTTTAGGCCGCGTTTTCACCTGCAAGAAAACTTCTGCAAGAAGTATCCGATAGTCTGATAGACAATAGCTAATATAAAAGGCGAACTAGTTTCTCGCCAATTTTGCCTATGTGCTCTGACTTTGCCGTGGAAATGACTCTTTTGAAGGACTTGGAGGCGGAATTATAGTTTTTAGGGTGCTGGAGTTTAAATCTCGGAACATTGATGCGTTAGCCCAGGCCCGGTAGCATTCCTGCCTATAGCATGATGCTATATATTAATTAAGGAGCGACTAAGCCATGGCTAAGATCTGTCTCCAATGGGCACCACAGAAGAAGGAATAAAGGGTTCCATACCCTGAAGTACCACATCAGTAACAGAATCAGCAACAACGTTGGGATCGTTCGGTGAGAAGCAAACCCGTCATCAAGAGTAGGTTGCAAAGAAAGACCGCATCCTATCCCAATCGGCCCACCTATAATAACAAACACGGCGGTAGCTTGCAGATAGCAACCGCGATTTTAGCGTGAGTATCTACGTGAGCGTGATCGGGAGGCACTACGCTCCGGACTAGACAGTGGTCCATTGAGCCAAGAGGGGCGTCGATGGAGTCCTGATATCTGTCCGGATGAGAGGTCAGCGAAGGTCCGACAGGGAGGGTGCGTGACCCTCTACATTTGAAATCTGCGTAGGCGAAGTAACCAGTTGTGTCAGACCATATGCCAAGGCAAAATCATGAACAGATCTCCCCGCACGCATCGGTTAAACGTGAACCAAGCCATTCAGCGTGGTCTGTGTTAAAATAGCCGAGGATCATGATCCCTGCGGACGGGATCTGCTGTAGCAAGGATTCTGTAGCCATTTGGACGTGTTCGATGAGTCGGTCTGTTTCGGCATTACCACTCGTCGCTGCCTACGCGTACCCAAAGGATGGACAGGTCCGAACCTTCAAGACTGCCGAGGCGTCGAGAACAGATGTCCTCTCTGACATATACGCAAACTCCAGTCCGAAGCACAAAGGAGTATTTCAGTTTGTACTCCTGGTAGGAGAGATACGAAGTATCAGCCGGAGAGGACACCTGCGTCTCGGTCAGAAAGAGCAGAGCCAGCTTGCCCTCTCGAGATGGTAGTTGACGGCGCTTAGGTACCAGGTTAGGGCCCCTGATATTGCAGCCGCCGATTGACGGTTCGGCTTGGTTTTGTTACTCGCCTTGCCCAAAGCAGTTATTGTCTTGAGCGGAATTTTGCCCCCGAGAATACGCGGGGCAGGCTGAGCACCCACGCTAGTGAGTAGCACGCTAGAGTACTAGGGAGTAGTTTGGTCGTAGATGCTCAGCCAGGAATTATCCAGGGGTGCTGGTACCCTCCTGGGGTAGTCTTACATTTAATTCCGCTTAGGGGGGTGG